TTTTTTTTTTTTCTTTTTTTTTTTTTTTTTTTTCCTCCCCCTCGCGAGCCGATTGGCTGCGGGAAATTTGGTGCCACCTCGACTTGCCCTCGCCATTGGCTGCCCGCAATCTGCTGTTCGCTCCCTGCGGCGCGCACCCTGCGCGGGTCTGCTGCCGGCGCGCACCGCGGTTCCGCGCACTGCTCTGCTCAGCTCTGCTCAGCTCCGCTCTGCTCCGCGAAGCAGCCGCCCCGGCGCGGAGCGAAGCAAGAGGGGAGCGGGGACCCCTGCCTGGCCAGCGACTTGGAAAGAAGGGACATCATTGTCAAGAAGCTGCTCTGTATTGGGAGCTCTACGGAGAGACTTATGTATATGTATAAAAATTGTATGGTTTGTTTGTGGAGAAAAGCACATTCACAACCGCATGTATATTTGTATAGGGGTTTATCTTGATATACACAGTCTGGAAAACGTTGGCTGTAATCTTCAAAATGAATCCTGGGCATTTTCCACCAGCAAACAGTTCTTTCTGGTGGAGGGCGGAAGAAAGGGAAAAAAAAAATTAAAAGCTCGGTCTGGTATCAGCCAGTTTCTGTAACAACGTTCTCTCACCAGCCCCAGTAACAGAACCTGGACTTCCTTGTTGCTCGGGCTCTTTACCAGGGAGACGTTTCTCATTAAAAGTGAAGAGAGCCTTCCAGCTGCTGCCTTCCTGGTGGCAGAGCTGAGGCAGCTCTCCTAACCCCATCCCCCACCGTGTGGCCACCATGCCAGGCACCCTCAGATGTTCAGCAGAAAGGGCTGGAATGTTCCAGTCCCATCACCCAAACTGCAGTGTACCCCGTGTTCAGGCAGTGCCCACTCCTCGCACAAAACTCACAATGGAACAGAGACGTCAAAAGCCATGTTGAATTGTACCCGTATCCACTGAGCCATATCCTGCCTAGGCAACTATCTCTCAGCAAAGGAGCCGACCAAACGAGGTGCAGATGGACAACCACTTTCTTGCGGAGTCAGTCCATCCCCGGGCTGACCCAGCTCACATACAGTGGGGCTGATTCAGTGGCAGCTGTCAAAAATGAGCTGCATTGTAATCACTGGGAGGGAAAAAAGAAGAAAAATAACAGCAGCTCAGTTCTCTGTATCCAGAGGTGGCTGGCAAAGGGGAAAAAATGTGTCTCTCCTTTTTCATCTCACTGTGATGGATGAAGAGGTCTGAGAGGGGTCTGTGTTTTAGTTTTACATTAGAAGATCGAGTCTTGCCTACTCTCAGACACAATATTGAAAGAGAGAACCCACAACAGAAGACGTTCCTAGACAATGAAAGCTGGCATGAGTCAGAGAGGGATTTTAACCATCTCTTTTAAGGCTCTCTGTTAAATGCTCAGTTAACAATGCTGGTGGTTACTGAACACTGGAGAGAAACAAAGATTTGGTTAAAGATTCTACTTACTTTGTACACGAGTGTTGGAAGAACACTGTACTAAAACATTATCCTAAGGAAATAAGAGAAAGAAAAAACAGGGTAATAAATAAAGAAGAAAAAGAAATAAGGTGGTAGTTGGGTACTTGTTGATTAGCATATATATATGTATAGCAGCTCATTCCTCATGGTGAACATAACCTCAGTACCACAGACCAGGGACATGCTACCAGCTGGTACAAAGGAGGCTCTTGGGGATTCCAGCTTTACAATTTTGCGGAAACCAAGACCCACCAGAACCCTTTCCTTTCCCACCAGTTTCTTTTTTCAGATGCAGAGCATGGCCAAAATGGCACTTACAGGGTAGGAAGTCTTTGCCATTCTCTAAGATGAGCACTGCTTGCCCCCACATGACAGAAGTGAAGGTCTGCCCCGGCAAGGCAGGGCAGCAGGGCTGGGATCCGGCAGCTTTTCCTTCGAGGGAGAGCTGTCCAGCTGAGCCTTCAGTAGAAGCACCTTCCTGGTGGAGTTCACATCTCTTAGGAAAGATTCAATTTTAGTCATCGTCTCTGTGAAAATTATTCAAATCTTCTGCATGTGGTGACCGATGCCTAAGGTCATGGTTTTCCATAAATGCACTGAGGCAATGCCAGGAGTGGGGCACAGGGCAGCGATGAGCAGCAGCAGCTGTACCATGAACAGAGCAGACCGTGAACTTCAGCACGGGATTTCATCACAAATGCATGGTGCTAATGTAAGGCTGGTTTCACCTTTTCTGAGAAGCCCCCCGTGGGTTCACAGCCTAGCCAAAGCATTGCAGTAGCGAAAAGCTCTTGCAAAGTCCTATCTGTTAGAGGATCTCAAAGCAGGTTATCAAGGCTGAGTAAAGAGAAGAAGAAATCAGCAGCGGCATCACCAGTGACTTATCAGTGAGCAGTTCTGTAAGAGGGAGCAGTTGCATCCCTTTCATAGGATGTGCTAACCAACCACTGCCAAAATTCAGGAATAAAACAGGAGCAAGTCTAAGCTAGTACATTTCCTCAAAACATTGTCTTACCCCTCTCCCCTAAAAGTAAATAAATGAATAAATAAATATTGCTTTTCCACACAGCAGTTGAGTTTTGCAAGAAGATTTCATCTGGTGTTGACATACTGGAAATTTTACTGAATCTCCTCAGTTGTCCCTTCTGAAGTGTTGAAAAACCAAACAGTGCAAAGCTTGTTGCAAGGGCTTTGCAACGTTTATTTCATGCTATTTGTTTATCTTATTTTACAGCATTCCTCATCTCTCCCTTCTTTTTTCTATTTCACCATTAGAATTTGAGGGGGAAAAAAAAAAGAGAGAATCAAAGACAGAAGAAAACAAGCTGAAAACTGGGGAAAGAGCTGACCTATTCCCCTTCCCTACTGCCAAAAATAAAGGTTTGCAAAAAATCTGCGAGGATTACTCATTATTTTCTGCATCTCTTGCATTGTTTTCCTGAAGAAGCGTGAAGCACTTGAAGCTTTAGAGGTTTTCCTTGGAAAAGGAGAATCACGCCAAAGCCTTTAATCCAAGGAGAAGTGCAGGGGTGGTTTAATGCCGTTTCATCAGTCCTCCTTTCTTCCTCCTCCCTCCCCTCATACAGAATCTGACTTTCAAAAGCTTTTAGCCCTCTATGAAGAGCAGATGAACATCAGTGTGTTTCACCACTGCCAGCAGTTTCATGGGTTAATGGTTCTCTGCTTCTCAACAGATTTGACTTCTGGGCACAGTTACATGTTGCAGAGAAATGAGCCCAACGGCCCTGGGCTACAGAATGAGTTGGGACAAGACTTAGCTTAGGCTGCAGCATGAACTCCTACCTGAAAGACAAGGTGGTGGCAGCTGCAGGTCTGCCAGGACCATCATTTCCAGGAACTCAGAACTAGGGATCAGATCCCAGCTCTGTGGGCCGCTACCCTCATTTAATGCGGCTTTCTCCCTGTGCATTCTCTTTTGGAATCATGCACTCTTCCTAAGCCAGGAGAGATGGCAAATGAGTTTCCTTTCTGACATGGAAAGCAAAGACTCTTGTGTATTTACCTGGCCTCAGCTTAGCTATATAGGATAGATATATAGCTTGGATTTTGGGGAATCTATCAATGTGTTTACCAGAAGTGAGATTTAAGTTTACAGGGACTGGCATTACCTTGCTTGCTTGCTTACTTCTTCTGAGGTTTACTGCTCCACAAATTCAGTGGATCCCACAGATCCCTGGAAATCCCCTGCCCCATCCTCTCCTTTAAGACATGGCTGCACTCAAGATATGTTACTTGGGCTCTTTAGCTAACAGCTACTCCTAGGGAGTTCCCAGAAGAGCAGCAGCGGCCACTGTCCCAGCTGCTTTTCCACAATAGCCTTGGGAAGGATTGGGGCTGAAAGAAGCTTCCTTTGCCACCCTCCTCTGACTCAGTGGGGGGTGTATGATTAGAAGGAGGGGATGAGATCTCAGAAATCACCAGCATCTGATTGCCAGGGTCAGAAGGGAAAGCAGGTGTAATTCAGGTGACGGACCATGCCTCTGAGCCGTGAGCAGAATGGTTGAGTTCACTGCCACTGGCGCAGAAATCTTATCAGCACTGAGAATTAGGCTGAAAATAGCTGGTGATAGTGATAGGGTGCTTATCTCTGCACTTTGCCCCATCCCATCTCTTCCAACTCGCTTTAGCGCCAGACCCCCTGCCCATCCTCCCGTCCTCTTACCCCAAACAGGCTTTGCTCCCAGCCCTGGGGCTGCCAGCAGCAAGAACCCAGCCTGTATTGTCTAAACAGGGCTATACAATAGACAGCATTGTTGACACTGGATTTTTGCCCTCATTAAAGATGACCTCACAGCCCACCCCTTGGGCACTTCAGCCAGCCCCTTTGGACTGTGAGGCTGTCTTTTGAACTTGGGTAAATAAATTGGGAGGGGAGGGGAAGAAAGGGATGGAGAGAGAGGAACACTGAAGTCATTGTGTTGCCACCCTCTCTTCAGCACTGGTGCTCTCTGGTGTCTTTCTACCCACACTGGACATGGCAGGCCAGGTGCCAAGGAGCCAGCATGCCTCACTATCCCAGCCTTCATTCACTGGGCAGGACCCTCTGTGGTCCTGCACCCTTCTTTCTGTGTTTCTGCACCCTCCTTTCTGCAAGTTGCAACTTGTCCTGGTCACTTCAGCCACCCTTTCTCCTCCAGTTCTCCTGTGCCTTTCCTGCCCACACCTCCTGCACCTTCTCTTTAGGCTGTGACCATCCTCAAGCATCTCCTGCTGCTGGCACCGTGAAAGTGCTTAGTGAGCGCCTGGGGAAATTGCCACCTACAAGTGGCAGATCTTCTGACCCAGCTTAGGTGGCATGGGCTACACTATCTCCTGCTCCACAATCTTTCTGGAGATAGACTTGTGGTAGGGGAAGCGGACATACCTTTGTATGGTGAAACTGATGGGGCTGCCCTGAAAACACGTACATGATGCTGGTACAAAGAGAATCATAGAATCATAGAACCCTTAGAGTTGGAAAGGACCTTTTAAAAGTCATGAGTCCAGTTCCCCTGTAATGAATAGGGACATGCATAGCTAGATTTGGTTGCCTAGGGCCTGATCCAGCCTTGCCTTTAATGGATCCAGGAATATGGTATCAACCACATCTCTGGGCAACCTGTTCCAGTGCCTTACCACCCTCACTGCAAAAGTGAAAGAAGAAAGGATAGAGGGAGAATCTGCTGGATCCTCATCTCATCCTTTCCCACACTACACTTGCCAGTGGCACACAAAGGAAAACCCCGAAGATGGGGTGTGCCTCTCCCTGTCTGCCATCCCCAACTATGCCTACATCTATGCTTCAGTCTCCTTTAAAGTGAATGCTTTCTTTCCTCCTGGGCAATGGGACTAGAGCAGAGAACTGCCTTTGTGTTCCTTCAGTGACAAGCCCTGATATTTCTCCTGTGTCTCTTCATTTATCCCAGTGAACCGCTATGTCTTGTGAGCAGGAATAGGAGAGAGTTACTGGCTTCACACAAACTCTTTGGAATGCTGCATTTTCTCAGTGAGTTTTATTACTTAGAGCTGCGTTCTCTGAGCTATTTACACACATACTGCATCCTGGCTAGAAGAGGAATAATGGTTTATTGCAGAAAATGTTCACTACCTCAGTTTAATACTTCTCCTTTCCCTATCCAGAGGATGAGGGCTAAAGTGTCCTTTAGTCCATTATAACACTGTAACTGGGCCACCAACCTTGGGTTAACCCAACACTAACAAGCCATGACGTGACCTCACAGGTATTGCCAGGATGAGGGAAGTGTATTGATTCATGTTACATTATCTTCGTCCAACTCTTGTTTGCTACCAACTCTTTGGTAAAGCAAGCCAGATAGGAGGCATCATTTCTCACAGACAAACAGCTGAGGACTGTTATTTCAAGTTACAAAGTCCTCAGCTGCTCCAGCATGTCAGCACCAACCAGACCTCGTGGCTGGGGTGCAACTGGCCTTAATAAGCCTCAGCTACTCCCTATACCAAAGCTTAATATTCTAAGCAAGGAGAGTACAGTTGATCTGCCACAGCAACCCCAAAGTCACACTCAGTCAGCACAGGCAGGAGGCTTCTCTAATCTTTTTTTCTTTTTGTTTTGATTTTTTTTTCTGTCTATAAGATGAGGGTGGTACTTGTGCTGTTTGTCCAAATTCATACACAACTAAAAATCCCTCACAATTCCCATCTGAGCAGAATGCCTCCCACCACCACCTGTGAGGGGCTGCAGCAGTGTGCAGCACTGGCCCAAGAAAGGGCATTTGTAGTTCTGAAGGAGAGAGGTGCTACCAGCTGTTATTTTTCTGTTGGGAATGTTTTTAAGTTTGCTGCTGGGAATGAAGCCCTTACCTGCCCACCTGGTTTTGCTGCCTTTCCAGGTCTTTGAAGAACCTGTCTGCCCTGTCCTCCTTTATAGAAAGGAGCTGGAAACTCACTTGTCTCCTTCCACATCCATTTCTTCTCTTAAGGGAAGGACTGCAGACCTCTGGGATTGTGTTAGTTTTGGTGGGTAAAATGACCTACGTTAACTATGTATTTGTATTTTGAGTGTTAATAGGGGGAGAGATCTGTCTCAAGTGTAAATTAAATCCTTGACAACACTTCAGAGACTCTGCAGCCCACTGTCTACTCTCAGTTATTTCTGATGACCTTTATAAAGCTTGCTCATCATCTCTTAAACCTTGTGATGGTGTCAAGATAGAAGTCCTCTTCAATCTACAAAGGCTTCTTACAAAGCCTGAACCTCCAGGCACTGGAGAGCTGCAGTGGATGATTGCCCACCACGTGCATTCACACATTTGCACAGTGTGCATTTGGCACATTCTGAAAGGTATGCCTTTTACTTCCTTCATGCTGTGTTGGAGGTGGTCACGTTTCCAGAGAATTCAGTCATAATCTTCTAGAAGAACCCGTGTGGATCCAGAAATTAATTCAGCTTTCTCTGGCTGATGACAGGCCTTTTTATCCACGAGTGAGGTAAAGGAAAGTAGCAGAATTGCTATCTTCACTATTAATTTTGATGTAGTTACACAGCATTGCCATGGCTGTTCTTTCACTTCTAGCTTTACCTAGATAAGTATAGTTTGCAGAGGTTTTGGGAAAACATACTGACAGCACACAGTTGAAGGGCTGCTGGAATGGTGCTAGGATCCATACCAGTAGTAGGGCTGCTGTGGTAGGCTGATGATAAACATGATGGCAGAAAGATCAAGCTTCCTACTTCTGTGGTCTGTACTAAACCAGCAAGAGTCAGAAACATATTAGAAGTCATCCTGCTTAGGTACACAAGGATGTCCCAACTTCTGAAATATCCTTGGACCCCTCCACAGGGACCCCAGGATCCCAGCTAACTTGTCTGGGTACTGAGGTAGAGTGAGCCTGGAAAGTGCTGGAACACAGGTAATAAATAGGTGGCTGATGTGCAAACACACAATGTTGCCAGTGACTGGTAGGGCTCAGGCTCCTCTTTCACCACCTCTTTCTCAATCTGTCACGAGTGGGTTCAGCCAGGTGATTGGCTCCTCCCTGAATATTAAACACATGTAGCATCTAAGCCTAACACTGATGCTAACCTCTGGCTTATTTTAAAAGCCACTTGAGCCCGTCTTACCTTGTTTTTCTATCTATAAAATGGGATCCTTATGTATTGTTCGGAATGATACGATCAGGAATTAAGAGAAACACAAAGTCCTGTACAACATGGGACCATGCAGGTTGAGTTAATGCAATTGCTCTGTGCACAAATGATCTTAATCTAAAAAATGCTTTGGTTAGAGCAACTGCTTGGACAGAGGTAGAAAGGTGGTGAATCATTTCCAGCTCTTGAGAAATGTATTCTTCTGCTCTCTAGCCAGGACCTGGCCAGCCCTATCAGCCTGAGAATCATAGGAGCAAGCTTAGGATATGCTGGGAGGGGACTAAGTGGTTCTTTAGTGCCCAGAGTCCCTCCATCAGTTTCTGAAAGTGTCAGGACTCCTCATTCTGCATTTCTTCTCTGGAGATTGTTGCTGGATCTCAGGAGGTTCCCTGGCCTTGGGTGCAGGGATTCACCTTTTCCCCTCATGCTGCTGGAATTATTATAGCCATTTTTTCACCCTTGGGGACTGTCCGTCTCTCCTATTCAGCATGTAGGTGCTAATATGAATTTCAGCTAGGGACTACGGGAAAAAAACAGCATGAAAATGTCAGTAGGTGGCATCTGAAAGAAGAAGGTGGATAATCTCTAGATAATCCTGAAGCAGTTGCAGAGATACTCAAGGTTTTGCACTGGAGATCCCTGATCTGAGTGCATCTTATCTCTAAAGCTTGCTCTGGGCATGACAGGAGCAGACAGAGATGGGTTACTCTAGCCAGGTGTGAGTTACATGATACCTAACTAGTGCTGAGGATGTTAATTTGAACTACTCATCCAATTTTACCCCTTGGTCCCATCCACCATATTGCAGCACACAGATGACATACAAGAATCAGTAACCTGCAAGAAAACCTTTCCCAGGTGGAACAAATTGCAGTCATTTACAAATTGCACATCCCAAACACCTGCACTGATCTTCAGAGAGGATTGATAGCAGTCATTCGCTGGCTCTTACGCTCTTAGCAGGTGTTTCTGTAGCTCTGTCCAAGCAGCAACAGGACGGGTCTTTGTGGGGCTGTGCCGATTCTGCCTGTCTTTTCTTTATTAATCGAGGGGACCGAGTATGTGGCGATTGAACGGGTTTGGCAGAGGATAAAACTAAGCTGGCTGGGAAGGTGAGTGCTGGTGGGATTGACCTGATGTGAGCCTGTCTGGGAAGTCAGTAGAAGAGGTGGCCTGCAGTCACTTGGAGTGCCACCTCAGCCCATAGCCTGGGACAGCGGGCACAAGGCAGCACCCCGAATGCCACGTTACCAAGCTGATGTTATGTTTTAGTCCTGCTCGCTCGTACAGCCTCGTGGGTTGGGGCGCATGGGGCTCCCTCCTGTGACGGAGCGCGGCTGCCCCCCTCTGGCTGCTTTTTCCCCTACTAAATTCTTATCGCAATATACTTCTAGAATACAGCGAAAATGAAATCAAACGTACCGCCTTGTTCCTTTTGGGTGTGTTTTACTGTGATTAACTCCTTCCCAGTGCACTGAATGTAACAAGGCGTTTAAGTGCAGAACGTTCCTGTCCACTTTGCCTAATGAGAGCAATCAAATAAGGTTCCTCTTATTGATCAAAACCGTGTTGCAGTAGGGGACAACACTGAGAAGGAAGTGCCTCGGACCCCAGTGATGCACAAAAGCCAGACTCCATTTCAGCCTTCACCCTCCAGCTTCACTCCCAAAAACAGGTGTGAAGCTCTTGCAGCTATAGAGATGCATAACACCTGTGCTGGTATTTAAATACTAGAAAACATTTTTATTTGAATACTTGTTTACTATCTTGGATATTCACTACATAGCAGGTTTTGTTTTGTTTCCTTTATGGAAAGGGCATGCCATAAAACTAAGGAACCATTTAATTGTGTTGTTATACATATTTCCAACTCTAAGGATTCTATATTTAGTGCTCTTTTCTCTGCCTTTTGTTCAAATTGTTTGTAAAGGATTTTAATTTTGACACTGTACAGGAAATCAGATATTCCTTTCTGAGGCCCTTCTACCTGAGTTCACTCTCATGTATTTGCCACAGGATGTGATTATTACAAATAGATGACAGAATTAGCTGTGGCTTATACTTCTTTTATAAAGCAGTTAACATATCAATCATGACAGAAAATAACTTTAAGTGAGAACTCGAAGGAAACTATTGCCAGTTTTATTTAGTGCTTTCAGAAATTTATGTTAAACTGTAAAGCACTGTTGCTGCCCCCTGACAAGTTTCCAGAGTAGGAGAACTGGCTCTTAGAAACAAGCCAGCAGACATGCTTGATGCAGCAAGCCCGTGGATTGCAGGAATTGGCTGGCTTAGCCAAATTCTGTCACCTCTAGCAAGAAAAGCTGCTATGGGGCCTGGTGTGACGGTTCAGATGGAGCATGAGAGCCTTATGTCAGGCATCAGAAAGTAACGGCCCATCAGTGTTTCATACTATGCAAATAAATCAGAACATTTTCAAGTTCTCTTGAAGAAATGTTCTTCTTGCAGAAAGGTAAGAGGGAGGAGATTTCTCTGCAGTAAGTGCAATGATTCCATATTGATGTCTTTGGTTGCCTATTGCTGGTTGTGAGCTGTTCTGCTGACAGTCTACCTGCTTGGGGAACATCTGTGTGCAGTGAATGAGTGCTCAGTTCGGGAAGCAGTCTGACCTGCATTGTTTCATAAAGAATTTATTGACAGGAGAAGTTCTGGGGCTGATTTTTGTCTTACCATATCGTGCTGTATCCACTGTGATGGTGGTTTCTGGGTTTAGAAATAAACCTGCCTTCTAGAGTGTTTCTTCTAGGCCCACTGAAAAACTGACTTCATCACAGAAAAGGATTGGAGAAAAGAAATTCTGTTTGCTGGCTTTCACAAGAATGGATGGTTGGTGAATAAATGAATACATATGAGGTAAGGGCAGAAAGGTGCTATCAGAAAAATGCTGGATGCCATCATCTAGTAGGTGAGAAAAGGGGATGTCTGCATTCAGCTGGCCTGGCAATGTCACCTGCATGAACGTGACAGCCAAGGGAAAATATACCTGCTTGTACCTTTGAGCCCTGCGGCCCTACAGCTACAAACCTGGGTAGTCAGGAAAAGCACCTCCCCATGGAGAACTGCTTGCAAAAGTCTTGAGAAGGGACCAGTCTATATGTTCCTTTACCATCTTACTGCAGCACCTGTGAGATGTGGGACTACTTATTGCTGCTACCTGGTGGGTAAACACCATCACCCCCTTGCTCTTGTGCTTTGCAGTTTTGTTGTGATTTGTGGTTTGCAGCAGAGCAAGCAGGCACTGCAGGGCTTGTGGGAGTTCTGCAAAAGTTGAAGAACTCAGCTCCTGGCTTGCAAAGCAAACACTGGAACTTTACTCTCACTTTCTGCTCCTGCCTGTAGTAATGACTTAGCAAGGAGGAAGCTGTGACCGGGATCGCTTTAAGGCCAAACCCAGCTTCTCGCTGAGAGCCCGGTTTCCAGAGCTGCTAACCCTCCGAGCCAGGGCTGCCGGCGCCACCTGGTGACAAGCTCTTTATTCTTCAACCCTTCCCTAGAAGTTCAGACCTTCCTCCGGAGCAGAGGGTCTGTCTGACTGTGCCCACCGTGTGTCCGCTCCGGTGGCCTTCTCTCGGGCACCCGCTGTGGTTCCCGGTCGGAGCCCATCTGTGCTGCAGGTGGCCCGAGGGGTCCGATTGAATCCCAGCTACCCCCTCCTCCCTGCAGCTTTGGCACTGTCTCCTGGCAGCCTCCTGTTGCCACAGCCCCACTAGGGTCTGTCACCTTGGTTAGGAGCAGGGCTGTGTCACTGTAGGGCTGACGGTGGTTCTTATGGTGGTTGGTGCCACCCTCCCATACGTGTCACCAGCTGAGCTGGTATAAAACAGAGGGTGCGTGCTCTCTGTGGGATGCTGGTCATGTACCCTCTCTGAGGCAGCCGTGCTGTTTGGCATTGACTGATTCCCTCTCTGCTAGCTCACAGCTCCAGCTGGGGCAGGCTACCTCCACAGCTCCAGCTGATAAGCACTTCTGCTGCCAGTGAATAGCCATGAGTTCTTCTCACCTAAGCAACAGAGCTGAGAGCCGCTTTCGATCCCCAGAGGAGCATGAACTGGAGGCTGTGGGGAAGAAAGCCTGGGATAATCCTGCCTACAGTGGCTCCCCCTCTACCTCCTTGAAGATTCGAGCCATCTACAACCCCAAATCAATTCTGGAGAATCCCTATGAGAGCTTTGAAGAGGCGAGGGATCCGGTGCCATACCAGGAGGAACAGAACAGAATTTCCCAGGAGGGGAAGACAAGTCCTTTCCTCAAGTGCTGCTTCTACATCTTCAGAGGCATCCGAGGTAAAGCTCTGACATCTCAGTAGTTCAGATCTACTAGCCCTTGGGAAAAGCAATGATACTTGGGAGGGAAGTGTGGGGTTGCAGAAGGTAGGAGCTGCATGATACCTGTATAGAGCAGGAATGTGCTCAGTATAGACTGGTTTTACTCCAGGCATCATCTTTAGTTGACCTGGAATGAGCATCCACATGTGAATGCCAGTTGTCCTTACATCTAGCATTGTTAATTGACAAAGAAGCCAGAGCAGAGGTGTATAGAGATCTCTGGTTTACCAAGGAGCAATGCTGGCTGGGGTTGGTAGGTAAAGAAAAAGAAAAAATAAATCCATACTTCATCAGTAAAATCCAGTTTTTGAAACTGGGGAGTGCAAATGAAAATACAGATCAGGACACAACAGCATTCCCTTCTTTTATAGTAGTTGCAGCAGTGTTTCCCATCAGCAAGGGTGGTGAACAGTAGGGTTGTAGGATAGACCAGAGCTGGGCAGGTGAGGTCCAAAGGTCAGGACAGGAAGCAGAAAAGGCTCAACTGGTCTCACAGGGATATCTCTATTCTCAACACGTGGATACTAGGAGTTCCCTGCCTCATGTTGGGGGCTGTGGGGGAGAAGAAGAAAAAACCCTGAAATATTATGGTATAGTCATATCTAGAGATAAAGGGGGTAATTTAAGTGACCTGAACAGATTGTCCTTATCAACAAGCCTCTCACACTCAAAGTTCTTGCCCTCTAAATTCCTTTGGTTGCACTGCTCACATCTTCTTGTCTTTCATTGTTTATTACACAAAAAAAAAAAAATGAGAATAAGACTGAAATCATCAGGAGTCCAATGATTACAGTGACCTTTAGGTCAGCTACTCGAGAAGGGCACTTTCTTTATACTATCTCAGTCTTATTGTTGTCGCTTTTGGTAATGTCTGCCCTGTTGTTTCCTGCAGTTTTGTTTTATTTTGTTTTTCTTTCCATTATGGAAGTTCTCATAGACCACATGCAGTAGAATAAATCCACACCTTCTGTAGGTGCTCATTTCTACTGCTCGGCTTGGTGTGGCTAGAGCAGTCTGTCCCAGAGTGAGCGCGGATGCTGAGACAGTCATTTTGACATCTGAAAGTACAAAAAAGTTCTCTACTTTGTTGAGATGCCAAAGAGCTATCAACAGGATGGAGGTGAATGTTCACAGGCCACTGCAGCACTTTTGCTTGCGCCAGAGCAAAGAGCCTGACTCCTTCCTTTGCCAGGGATGACTTCAGATGTGCTGCCTTTCATCCTGGCTTGCAGGAAGATGGTTGTTGTGCCCCACTGGGGATGAGTATCAGGGCTGAGCTCTCTAGGAGGTGCTGAAAACACAGAGTCTGTGGGTATTATTGACACAGATTCCATCACTAGGCTTTCAAGTGGAAGTTATTCTGCCTTTTAACTGGAAAGGAAAGTTTCTGAAATTACAATGTAAAGCCATTACAGCAAGAACAGCAAAGTCATTAATGGTGTTCGGCGGTTCATCAAAACCAAGATATTGAAGCTTCTTTAAAAGGAAGTGTTTCTGTCTTTTTGATCAATCCTAACGACATCTAATGAGTTCCTTTCACTGTGTGAAGAAATCAGAACATTAACTGGTATAAATTGGCATATTTTATTGAAGTCAGCAGAGTTCCATTGATGGACATCCTGAAGACAATTTAGCTCTATATTTTATGCTGAAAATATTGAGTTGGGCTATTTGATTGAGTCTTATAGCATACCAAATATCTGTGAGTTTGTGAGCAAGCAAGGGACAGATATTTTGAGCTTGGCAGTTCATTACACACTTAAAAGAGCTAATAACTGTAAAGCTAACGTCAGATGCAGTTCAGTATAGAAGTCCTTACTAGAAGGTAAGATGTTGGCACACGCGTGACTGGGATGAAATTACATCAGTCCTAGAGAACTTATGAGAAAGACTGAATTTCTGCAAAAAGTAAGCTGAAAAACAGGCAGGAAAAGATTGGTCCTTGCTGAATTCAGACAGGAAGCTGGAGGGACTTAGCAAAACAAAAAACAAACAAACAGAAAAGGAAATGTCATTCTTTAGAAATAGAGCTCCTCACTTAGCCTTTGACAATGGCCATCAAACTCTCCATTTCTTTCTTTACATCCCAAAGGTCTGTGGGGCACTACGCTAACTGAGAACACAGCTGAAAACAGAGAACTTTATGTGAAGACGACTCTGCGAGAGCTCCTAGTCTACATTGTGTTCTTGGTGGACATCTGTCTGCGTAAGTAACTACTGTATGTCACTGGGGTGCAACACATGGGGAAGAATGTGAGGCTTTATTAGTAGACTTCCTCATCCTGCTGTGCATGTTAAATTTATTGTACATACACTCACTGCAGCATGTGAGTGTGGCGTTAACCCACAGAATTGCTGCTGCACACACAAGTGAAAAAGCTGAAAATTGCTCTAAACTTGTTAAACCTGCTAGGCTTAAGTAGTGTTTCCAAAACTGCACTATCAGTTCCAGCTGTTGACGTCACAGTCTGGGAAGAATAGGTGCAAAGTTTTTGTTTTACAGAAAACGTTCAAGCATAAGACAGCAGCACCAGAAACTTCTTGGGATCAGAGACACAGGGTTCTGAGAGATATTCCTATCTGAGACTGGTAGGGTTGCTGAAGCGATAGTGCAGATGGCAGCTCATGTTCTTGGGTGGATTTAATGCAGCACTGTACTGAATGCTAATGGTCTTTGTGTGGTTAGAACAATGTCTGTCTGGTTTTTTGGGAAGCTTCATTCGTTATCGCAAATTAGCAGCTGAGGCATGGAGCAGTGGAAAGGATTATATTTCATGGACCCTATGGCAGGAGAGATAAACAGACAGTGCCAATCTGAGGTACTATCACACTGACCCAGGGAGATAGTGCTTCCTAAAGAACTAGGATGTGCACACAGACGTACATATGGTTGCACACTGATTCATCTAGAAGCGTTGGATGCTGAACGTCAGCTGCTTTATTTGTATGGCACCCTTTCAATAGTTGGACATGTTCTTAGTGATCATCATGATGAATGCTCTTCCACAGGGAGGAGTCCTGGAGAGTTGAAACAACGTGTTCAGGGACGTTTTGAGGTTTTTTAGTATGTGAAAACTTACATAGAGCTTTCCACTCAGGAACATGGATAGTTTCTATATACCTTCATAAATTTAGATCAAAACTGAGTGCATTCAAAGTACATCTCAAGAGCAATGTTCTGAGAAAGATTTCTCTGAGTTTTTCTTTGAGGGAGGAAAGATAATGTTATCCAGGAGAATAAGTTATATCATCCCATGGTCTTCTCTGGCCTTTAAAGACCTAAAATCTGTCAGTCTGATGGTTTAAATTCTAGAGCATGCAGCAAATGAAGCTGTAGATCCTTAAGCAAGAAGAAAGTTATGTGACTAGCGTTTCCAAGGTCTCATCACTTGCATCTTGCTCAGCTTACTTACAGTAGAATAAGCTGCACAGAAAGTGAACGTGTGTGTGTGTCTCTCTCTCTATTTATATGGCTCCAAGATTTAGGTGTAAGGGAGGGCCCTCCTCTTTTCTCTTCTTCTAGTGACATATGGTATGACAAGTTCCAATGCCTATTACTACACAAAAGTGATGTCTGAGCTATTCCTGCAGACCTCTTCAGACAACCGTGTCTCCTTCCAGTCCATTGGCAGCATGGCTGACTTCTGGGTGGTGAGTACACTCGTGGCCTGGCATGGTGAGCCAAAGAAATATGGCATATTCAGTTCCCCCCAAATGTGCTGCTTAATGCTTTCAGCAAAACATTTACTGCTTGCTAGCTGTTAATAATAGTTTGTCATATGCATGCAAAATATCCACAGGCTTAAAATATATTATACTCCTCTTAGCCAGAATATTGGCCAGTCTGAGTGTTACCTGTATCAATTAGAGTCCAGAACTTATCAGCTAAACAAGCAGGACATAACAAAAAGAAATTGCTATACTTGTTGTACAGGTGGGGAGTTCAGACCCAGACAGTCCAAGTGATTTATTCCAGGCTTTCTCATGTTGGAAGTGGCTTTGAATCCTACAGTCTAATGTCTTCATGTTTGTCTCTTAGCAATAATCTCATTTCCATTTTTATGAGTAACTGTGGGAACACCATGCTTAACCTGCCTGTAATTTATGCCTGGGCTTGTCTGACCTGTAGATTTTTATGAAGAAGCTGGATTAAAACTTGCACTAACTTTTATGGAAGAAAATAAAGTTGGAAAAAAATGTTTGGAATCTAGTGTGTTTTTATCAAAGAACTGGAGAAGGAATAATATTGGGCCACCGTGAATGTTACTGAGATATTGCAACCACTTATCTCTGACAGTCAGCCAGAAATTCATTGTCAGCTATCATTGTCTTTCTCTGATGTATTAAAATAGGACAATGAACTGTGACACTGTTGCTTCCCCCCAGCATTTCCAGGGAGCTGGTCCACCCTGTCTTTGTAATTCACACCTTATGCCAAGATAGTTCCTCAAAACTTGTGTTCACCGAAGAGGAAGAGACAAAAAGACTTGCAGAGCCCTTGTCTCTTCATTAGTACAAGGTGCAGAAAGCATGTTACAAACCTGTGAGGAGCTAACAAAGCACCCTGCTGCTCAGTGTCCCTCTTCTGTCCTGCAATTCCACCCAGCCCTGCACGTTGCTCCCTTCCTTAGCATATATCCAACATAAGTTCTACTACTTCCCACCTCGGGGAGTAGAGCGGCATGGGTCAGGTCTTATCATCTCAGGTCCAGGCTGAGAAAATTCCTCTCTTCTCCCTCTCATGCAGTATGCACAAGGTCCTCTTCTGGATAATCTTTACTGGACAAAGTGGTACAACAACGAGTCCCTAGCAGCGCACAACTCTCAGTCATACATCTATTATGAGAATCTGTTACTGGGTGTCCCACGCATGCGACAGCTGAAGGTAAAGAACAATTCCTGTGTGGTTCATGATGACTTCAAACAGGAGATCTCGGGCTGCTATGATGTATACTCAGAAGACAAAGAGGAAAAAGTCTCCTTTGGACTCACCAATGGAACAGCGTGAGTACATCTTCTGTTCAGGATTAAAAAGTCTGTGATTTCTATTTTTATTTTTTATTGACTCAAATTATTCCCTTCTGTTTAAAATAAGATCTGCTGAATGCTGGAATTTCCCTTGCAGTTAAAGGCAAAGAATTAGGTAGACATTTTGTCTGTTTTTAAGAGAGTGTACATCTTTCATCTTGAAAACGTTTTTTCTGATATTTTCTCAGCTTTTTTTTTTTTTTAAGAGATATCCAAATCACTTTCTTAATATCCAGCCCTTCTAATTTCTACATTGAAATGGAAGGTAGCACATAAAACCACCCTTGCACTTAGTGGTTTTTTTTTCCCTTACTGTGATTCATGCAGTTCAGTGTAGATTTTCCTCTGTATTGCTGTGGAGCAGCTGCAGTTTAATAACTCCTTACTCACAGCTTGAGAAGCTGTGAAAGAGAAACTATTGTTCATAAAGTTGTGGAAGCATGCTCTAAGCAGAGGGCTGTGTGCCACATGGTAGAAGGCAATATAGCAGATCCTGAGAGTAACCTCCTCCAAACAAATAAGGTAGCATAGTCAATGAACCTGCAGAAATATCACTCCATAGTATGATAAGTTGTGTTCTGTCACTACTGAAAGTCACTAGATCAGTAATCTATTGACAGTGAAGGACTGATGTAGGCTTAGCTCTGGAATAGGAGTTAAGTGCTAACTATTTGATTAACTGCTCTATATTTTGAAGAAATGGTTTCATTTCTCCTGGCTGCAAGGTCGTATCCCAGGCTGTGGGTGGTAAGGGATGCCTTTGCTCATAGCTTGTCTGTTGCAGGTGGAGGTACCATTCTGAGGAAGAGCTGGGTGGCTCATCTCACTGGGGAAGACTAACCAGTTACAGTGGGGGAGGATACTATATAGACCTCAAGTTGACGAGAGAAGAGAGTGCTGAAGCCCTGCAAGTCTTGAAGGAGAAATTATGGTTGGATCGGGGGACACGAGTTGTCTTCATTGATTTCTCGGTGTATAACGCAAATATCAATCTGTTCTGTGTTCTGAGGTAGGCTGAGTCCCACTGGAAATTCTACTGCCTCTTGCTTTTTTCTTGATGCTGTAGTGTCTTAAAATGCAAAAATAACCTTGCCCATGACTGGTTGTAGGACTGAATGGCATCAGTAGATGCTGTGTGGATTAGACTTGGTCTTCCTGACACTACTAGTCACCCTTCTTGGCCTTTCATTCTTTCTTATCACGAGTAGTGAAGCATCAGAAAAAAGAATGCATAAACACACACAACTCTTTCACACATGGTGTGGTGGATATCTCATTCTCAAGTTTGATGCCTCTATTTCCCCTTTTGTAATTATCAGTGTTTTCTTTTCCCCTTGAAGGTTAGTGGTGGAGTTTCCAGCCACTGGTGGTGCCATTCCCTCCTGGCAAATCCGGACAGTCAAGCTTATACGATATGTCAGTGCATGGGATTTTTTCATTGTTGCCTGTGAAATTGTTTTCTGTGTCTTCATCTTTTACTATGTGGTGGAGGAGATTTTGGAGCTGCGTATCCACAGGCTTCAGTACTTTACCAGCATATGGAACATCTTGGATGTGGTTGTCATTCTGGTGAGGATGCTTGCACGCTTTTTTTGTTTGGTGGAGGGGTACGAGAGACAGAACTAATGAAAAAAAGGAGAAACTCATCTAGACAAGAGCTGACATATATTTTGCTCTTATAGAAAAATGGACCAGCAAAATAGACAAATGTTCTTCTCTCAGGTATTAGAAGAAAATTCTTAATCATGCTCTATGGACTGTGAAGTAAGGGTGTAAGGTAATCCAGTGCATTAGAGTCTTGTTTACATCCTCACGAGTAGACTTCAGTTATGAATTGTGATACTAAGGAATTCTGTGGCGTGTTAACTTCTCTAGTTACTGTAGATCCTTCATTTTTACAGCTCTCCATTGTTGCTATTGGATTTCACATCTTTCGTACCATAGAGGTGAACAGACTGTTGGGGGAGCTGCTGAAACATCCTGAAACCTACGCGGACTTTGAGTTCCTAGCATTCTGGCAGACTCAGTACAATAATATGAATGCAGTCAACTTATTCTTTGCCTGGATCAAGGTATTGTAAGGGAACTGCCAGGGCTTCAGACTCAGTCCTCTTCCTCTAGATAGCTTGGGGATTAATTCTTCCATCTGAGTGAATGAGGCTAACAGTTATAATACAGGGAATTATTTCTCTAAGTGATAAAAGCTCAATTTCATAGTTAATCCAGACAGCTTTTCACCTTACGTTCTGAGTCCAGTTAGGTAGAGATAGCTTCCAAGCTCATTTCCCTGTTTGTGTAAAAGACTTTTTTTTTTAAATGCTGAATACAGTACAATCTTGTCCATCATGTACTGTTTACACTATCACTGCCCAACAACTGGAGGTGACTTGTCTGTTGATAGGCATCCCACATGTCAACTAAAGCATCTTGGGTGTGATGAAAGGCTATGCTGTACTTAGGGATCCTCACTATCATCAAGATGTTTATCCTTATAGCAGTTCCTCTTCATATTTTCATTTGCTGCAGGGAGGAAATTCCTATGTTTATGACCTCATAGGAAAGTGGTAGCATGTCTGGGGCAAACATCCTGAACTCTAGGCCACTATTCCCTCAGCCCTGGCTGTCTCCTTGGTGCTTTAGTAAGCCTATACATGAAGGAGAGAGACTGACTTTGCTGATGGTTTGACCTAACTGTGTCCCTATTTTTTTTTTTTTCTTGCAGATATTCAAGTATATTAGCTTTAATAAAACAATGACTCAGCTGTCCTCCACGTTGGCACGTTGTGCCAAGGACATCCTGGGCTTTGCCATTATGTTCTTTATTGTCTTCTTTGCTTATGCCCAGTTGGGTTACCTTCTTTTTGGGACACAAGTGGAAAACTTCAGTACCTTTGTTAAATGCATGTAAGTGTATTGGCCATAACTAAGTTTTCATTGTTGCGAGCTGTTGTCTAAAGAATCTTAACTGCTTTCCAACCTATTCTCAATTGCAAATTTGACTGTCAGTTGGACACCTGTTATCTCTCAGTACTAAAGCCACAATGGCTAAAAAGTGGCTCATAGTCCCACATTTGTAACGTCCTCGTGGACAAAGGAACACAGTGAGAAAATTGAAGGTAGCAGATTTGATTGTCCTAGTGTTTATCAGCAGGGATGTGAGCAGCCCATGCTTTGAGACTCTTTGCAGCCTTTTGATTCAATAGAAATTCCAGCCTGACAGTTTAGTGAGCAGTTTTGTTTGTCTGTAATATAGACATCTTTCACTTGATAATGGTATTTTTAGGTGCAGCAACAGCACTTGGCATGCAGCGTTACTTACAGTAATTCTGCAGAAAAGCACCATAGCTCAGCTGATAGTGAACAGTGTAGTTACTGCTCTCCTCATAAATCTGTCATCTTCTGATCTCCTGTGGGGCCACTGAGGTAACAGAACGGTGCTGTCTGCTGCTGAGACCTTAACAGATTTCTGGTTTTATACAACAGCAGGTAGCTTTTGGTCTACTTATGTTCAACTTCTCTGTAATTTTGGTGGTAGGAACTAAATTCCTCAAAATAGGTGTTTTGAGGTAAGCCCAATGTTATTTCTCTAATAAAGAAGAGGTCCAGATAGAAGCTCTGGTGCTTTGAAATGTTGTGGCTTCCAAATAGAGCCACTGATCACATCATTTCAGAGTCTGCACAACAGCTGCTTGAGAACTTTCTCATTTTTCCTCAGATGGTGTGTTTTAATGTAAAGGAAGATTCGGTAAGAATATCATTTCTTGCTTCAGGGCTTCAGAAGGAAAGATTGGAAGTAATGCATTAGTCAGTATGATAGCTTTAAGCACTGAAACAGGAAAAAGTCAGAAACTACTCCTGTTTAATAATTTGTTTGATATAAAACAATGTTAGAAATATTCTATTTATTAAATATGATAGAGTAACTGATATTTGGTAACTGTCTTTAAAATACATAATATTTTATGTAGTTTATATCTGATTTTAATATCATGGTATATCTGCTTCAAAATAACAGGTCTTTCTGAAAGTTGGTAGTCCTAATATGTTTATTTTAACACATTCAGTATAATGTTTCCTAAGTCAAATAGTAGTCTAAAGAAGATGAAGTAGACATTTTTCAAAGTAAAAGAAATAAAAAGATATTTATTACCAGAGGGAAACATTTCAACATTACTGAATGGGAACAAATTAAATCAAAGAAGAGGAAGCAATACTATATTCCTCACTCTTAGACCTGAAAAACATTACCAACTCTCTCAAATAGACCAAAAGAATCCAAAATGGAGCTTTGGACTCCTCAGACAGGCTGCAAGATCTCAGGATTCTTTTCCTTGCACACCACCTGTGTGTCTCTTTCTTTCTGCATTCCTCCCTGCTATGCCTCTCCCCCCCCATTTTTTCTTCCTAATTGCAGTATGTCTGTCTGCATGTGTCTATTTACCAGGGTTGTTTCAGCAGTCAGTTTCCAGAGAAGCCTCATGGACTGTGTCAGGACATCTTAGATGGGGGATGAACAGTGAGTAGATGAGCACCTGCAGAAGAGACTGTCAATGAAGCAGGTTAAGAATGCTGGTCTTGGACAATCCTTCAGCTCACGTGCACTCTAGGGCAATATGTGGGAGTTATATGGTTTAGCAGTGGTTTTCAGCCTATGCTCGTAGACCTCTGGCATCCAGGTTCCGTTTTCAGGGAGACTATAAGAAACGGTCCCCCTCTCAGGGTCTTGGACCCTGCTTTGGACCATCTTGGCTGCAGACAAGTTTAGAGTTCTTCTCAGGACTGTCTTTAGGAGGTAAGGTAAACGTATATGCTTATGTATGACCTTGTGTTCTTCCTCTCCTCCAGCTTCACCCAATTTCGGATCATTCTTGGTGACTTTGACTACAATTCCATTGACAATGCCAACAGGATCCTTGGGCCTGTTTATTTTGTCACCTACGTGTTCTTTGTTTTCTTTGTGCTCCTGGTAAGCAAGAAAGGCCTCCTTGCCTCTGTTTGACAGCAGTGTTTGAAGAGATCCCTCAATTCCCCCTCTCTGACTTCCTAAGTAATGGATGCAGAGGGATGTTCATTAAATTAAATACTATCAAGAATGTGAATGTAGCTTAAGATACTGTAGGAGAGACTACCAGAGATGGTGTCTGAGCTGAGAACAAATGTACCTTAGGCCACTGCTTTAGCTATCAGCTTTCCTTCCTAGTCCTTCGCTTTGTCTAAGCTATGCCCCATGTGAGAACAGCTACTTGTTTAATTGAGCTCTTCATAGTTACGTTGGTATCTTGCTGCCTCACCTGCTGGGGTGGGTGAAGTGTCTCAGGCTAATTCAACTCTTTTTTTTTTTTTTTTTTTTTCTATTTCTCTAGAACATGTTTCTGGCCATCATCAATGATACCTACTCAGAAGTCAAGGAGGAACTTTCAAGCCAGAAAGATGAGCTGCAGCTCTCGGACATCTTGAAGCAGGTGATAAATAGCAAAAACTGTGTTACTTTCTAGCCAAATCCTGAAACGTTTTCTTGGAGTTCCTGACTTGTGTTGAATTTACTATAGAAAAAAATGGTTGCCAGCTCCAGATCCATGTTACTGATATGCAGAACAACAACAGGAGTGATAGTTCCCTTCAAAGATAGATCAAGTTCCCAGATTCTTAGGCAATGGGAGGATGAGAAAGCGAGAGTACAACTTTTCTTCCCTAGACAAAATATATATATATATATATACACACACAAAGCTCCTTCAGTCCTTTATACAGTGCTCTTTGATCAATAGCAAGTGAAATGACAAGTTTTACTTTGCTGATCTTAGCACTTTACAGTAGTGTGAATCTGGTGGGTGGGTTACATCTGGATTTCCCATGGACAAATTCCAGAAATGGTCCTGGAAGTTCTTTATTGTCTATGCTGTAGGACCAGTATTCTGCAAAGAATGATATTTGAGACAACGTCTTAAGCAGTTTATGACTGGGGCCTTAGGTAAAGTGAGGCTTGGGAGGAGAAAAGCAGATGGCAAGCTTTTTCATGGAGGTAGTGTGTTGGTGCTGCTTTAAAGTGATTACTCTAGTTTATAAATGAGTCTGTAGCATTGTATCTGTGCTTCTTTTAAAACTGAGAATCTTTTTATTAATCAGCATCTGTTCACCCATATTGCATTGTACACCCTTTCTTATTTTTCACTGTTCTGAATTCATTTACACCTTTGTTAACAGAGCTACAACCGGACGCTTATGAGGTTGAAGCTGAAAAAGGAACGGATTTCTGATGTGCAGAAAGCACTGCAGAATGGAACAAAAGAACTGGGCTTTGAGGACTTCAAGAACAGCTTGAAGGAGTGAGTGAGTCAGCTTGTGGAATGTCTGTTTATCCCTTTCTCTCAGTCACACTTGTAATTTAAACTCTGTGATGTTCAAGGCCTGGAGAGCAATTAAGTCAGATTATGGCAATAAAAGATGCACAAAAAAGATTTATCACAGTTTCTCACATGTTTAATCTCATAACCTAAATGGAGTTGTGTTGCTGTCATCCTCAAAAGTGGAATATTTAAGTTCTTCGTTGGCAGGAGGCAGCAGTACATTCATTTCAAAAGGGGTGCTCCTGTGCTGTTAGGGCTCATGTGATCTGGTGCCTTGAGCTTTACCTTTTTGTTCTTCTACAGACTGGGCCATGCAGACCATGAGATCACAGCAGCCTTCTCCAGGTTTGACAAAGATGGCAACCACATCCTTGATGAAGAAGAACAACAGCAGATGAAGCATGACCTAGAGGCAAAAAGGGTAAACAACAACAACAACAAAAAACCCAAACAAACCAAAACAGGCAAGGAATGAAGCTCTGCTCATCAGTAGAGATCACTCCAGAATGGCCTCAGGAGTCTTTGGATTTGTGATTAAAAAAAATAAGCAGGCAGAGTACAGCTCCAACTCTGTCTGAATAGCAGCTGAGTACATGACCTACTTGCGAATCTGTGTGTTATATTAACAGTGAATCTGACACAGAATTAATATCCAACTTCTCAACAGTTTCTTTATCTGTCTTCCAGGTTGCTCTGAATACAGAGATTGAAAATTTAGGGAAATCCTATGGTGGCAACAACTTGGATGAGAATCCGTCCTACATGGAAGCAAAGAATAACCATGCCAATAAGGCCAGCTGGGTCTCCAAAGAAGAGTTCCAAGTGTATGTTGGTGCTGGCAGTAGTTTAATCTCTCTATAAACAAGGGTCTGATTCCTGCTGTTTTTCTCCCTGATGTAACTGTTTGCACTGGTGTTGAGCAGTTGCAATAAGATCTGGTCCCTTTTTCACACACATGAATGAGCAGGTCAGGAAAGAATCAGGTCATTTCTTGTAATGTGTTTTGCTCATTTCTGTAAAAAAAAAAAAAAAAAAAAAAAAAAAAATCAGACTGAGAAATATTGCTTTCTGCCTCTTGAATAACCTCTGCAGGTATCAGATGGCCACAGGCAATACGCTGTCATGTTCTGTATCAGGAGTTAGCCTGGAAAACTTGGCTAGGGACAGTTGATACCTTTACAAGAGGTTCTGGGCAATAAATATCCTTGGTTTATAGCCTAACTGTCCGTCATCCTCCAGGTTTGAGAATAACACATGGCTGTTTCTTCCTTAAGAATAGTATGGGATACATACCGCAGAGAATCAGGAGGGCAATATTAAAAGAGAGACAGATGCAATATTAATAATGGGATTGCGTTGTGGCTCGACTATGGAGGGAATTCTGTGTTCATTGAGTATGAATCAACATCTCTGATGTGGAGTATTCATTCCTGTTTGAGATCTAGCCTATTGTCCTTGAGATAACTCTTGCAAATCCTAGTGTTCATAACAACAAAAAAGTTGCAAATGCCCTGTCTTCCTCAGACTCCTGCAACGTGTGCTGCATCTGGAACAGTCCATACACAACATTGGCTCCAAGATTGATGCAGTGGTAAGCAAACTAGAAGTGCTGGAGAGAAACAAGCTGAAAACGAAGGATTTGATGGGCAAGCCACTGGATAACGGTAGGAAGGTTGGTAGCCCTCCAGCATACATTTGAACTAGCTTCAGGGTTGGTGACCTGCTGCGTGAATGGACCTATTAGCACCTTTTCTTCTCACATCCCCATTGATGCAAGACAAAAGTTGGTGGGGTCATTATCTTGCATGGTCTAATCATTTCTGTTCAAGAGCAGTGGCACAGGATTCCTGTCAACATTCTTGTAAAGGGCAGAAAGGGATGGTGCTCTTTTCATCTGTTCATTGCTTGAATCTATGTTCATCAAAGCATTGCAACAGTGTATTGGATCGTTAACAGATTGATGGACTTGTACTAGTTTCTAGAAGAATGTGGAAAATATTATTTAAACATCCCGGACACCTTGTCTCTCCCCTGAAGTGTTGCTTGACTTCTTGTTGTGTTTCTAACAATGCAGGTCACTCTTTATTCTGGTTAACAGGAGGAAGAACCCAGTCAGGAAGAACTGCTCTCCCAGAGCCTGGACCAGCTGGGGAAAGAAGCAGCAGAAGACTGGGGAGTGGAATATGTACAGGGAAATAACCCAAGTTGCATCTCTTCTCAGAATGGGATCTGCCCAATCTTGCTCAGGTCAAGTGTACCAGGGTCTCAGGCACCCAAGAACATCCAGTCACAGTTGTGATGAGCGCTTCTAGCAAACAGTCCAGTGTTCCCAGTCTGGCTTCTACAGTACTATGTCACTGTCAGTTGTTTTTCCCACTGTTAGAATAGTCAGAACAGCTGAACGCAGGCACCACTGTTGCCAGAGACTGGTGATGTGAAAAATTGGTGCCGCTCTTTTCCAGTGTAGTGATGCACAGACCTAGAACTTCTGGCCCCTGTGTCTCTGGACTAGTTAGAAATTTGGAACCAGGTATTGCATTAGGTTTCTGTCTCTGAACAAGACAACTCAGAGTGCTTCTACCTATATTTTCCCAAGATGTAAAGGCTCAGAGCTCTGGAAGTACTTGGATCCAGAATGGGAAACTGCAAGTCGTTCCCCACAAGCACATGCCTGCTTTCTCAATTGTGAGGAAAAGTTGAGGTAATCATGTTAACAAAGCAGAATATAATCATTAGTGTGAGACAGAAAGGAGAAAATAGTTGCATCTACATGGTTACCACTAACTTTGTTCTGTTGTAATTTGCATCCAGAACATTTTGGTAACCCTCTTTGGTTACCAAAGATTCAGATGTTGGAAAAAATAGGGTATAAATGCCTCAGTCGAGATAATTAAAATGAGAGTTTACTCCCAGTGTATTAGGAGGAGATCTGAAACTGAAGAAGCAGCTGTTAGTGATATTCTGAGGTCTGAATGTTGGGGAACAGATTTCTTACACTGGATCAGCCCTGCCCTGGATAGGCCAGGCTCTAGAGTGGTCACAGCTATACGGTAGTGTTGACAAACTGAAGAAGAGGGTCATTCAGTTGCAAGATTCCAGCAGGAGCTGTGAGCCCCTGTCACGCAGCCTACAGGGAGCTTAGATTTCAGCTAGGATCTGCAGGTTCTTGCATCTTGGTTTCCCATCAGCTGCTTCTGCTGCTGGGGACAAGACTTCTCTGTGAGATACTGCCATGGTTCTTGACTCAAAGTTTTATTGGATTCAGAATTGAGCATAAGCTCTTTGCCTTCAGCTTTTCCAGCTGAACTCAGAACAATGATGTTGCTTATTTCCCTCTACTCACAGCACTGAAACCATTATCTTATGCAGGACAAAATGGCTTATGTCAGGGACCTGGGAACTTAAATTAAAATTTTCATAAACAAAAAATCCACATGCTAAATTATAATCCAGAAAAGAAACTATGCACTTCTAGCAGACTTGAATTGCACGTGCACCCATTACCAGTGTGAGAACTGAAGCATGTTATGGACTGCAGGTGAAAATGTTTAATGCTCTGCATGTCAAGAAGTACATAAGCTCTTCTGTTAAATCACTTGGAAAGACCCTGTTTGAGATCCTGACTCATTAGCAGACCGTTGTTACTGAGGCTTAGCTGCAAAAACAAAATTACAGACCTCTCTTTTGAAATCTGTGGAGGGAAGAGATGATGGAAAATGTGTTGCTGGCTGAGGCTCAGCTCCTGACAACAACTGCTGTGGGGTAAACAGGATCCTGACACAAGGTGCTGCCCAAAGCAGGAATGTAAGGCCTTGCTTTATAAAGCCTTAGATCTCACACAAGCAGAGCGCTACTTCATTCTGTCCAGTGGAAAAGGTGGCACAAGCTCTTTGTTGGCACTGTTCCAGTCCCCATCCTGTGCTTTGCCTGCTGCAGCAGGGATGCTTCAGGCACTGCAGAGCAGGACATAGCCCTGCTGTCACTGGCCAGACAGAGGCTAGCTCCTGGTGGGCATCCTTTCTGCACAGAGACACCCTGCATCTGGGAAGGCAGGAGGGGCAAAAGGACAGCGATGCAGCAGCTGGGCTCAGAACCACACAGTAGGAAAATCAGCCACAGGCAGGTCACAGGTAACACAGGCTGCTATTTAGGGCAGTAGGCTACTAGAGGAGCAAAGTGGTCACATTGCATGGCTGAGTTTGTTCATGCCTGAACCCTGGGAAGCCATCTTTCCCCTCTGAAGGGTAAGCATAGAGCCTCCACACTCTGAGTAGATCTTTTGCCCAGCTCTAGCTGGGAGCAGATAAGAAACACAGGCTGCAGTGGTTTCCTGGGTTTCAGCTAGTGCTCCTTCCCCTATCACCTGGTGTTTTCTCAGAAAGACCACCCCCTATGCCACATGCTGTGATTTCAGTTGTGCCAGTATCACCAAGTGTGAAACAACTTCTGTCACCAGTAATGCCTATGCTGCATTGTCTTCTCTCTTGCTTGTACCTCTGCATGTAACTGCCTTGTCTGTGCTGTGACGTGCTATAAATACGTCATTGTAAACAATGTGGCCTAGAGTTAGCAAGGCAATTACTTGTCTCCAGCAATTGCTTGTGTGTAATACTCAATTGTGTGTTCAAGCTCGTTGAGAACATAAATACACTGAACAGTAAGTTTATGCAAGTGCTATTTTCAAATGGATGTTGTAAGGCCTCCTGGCAGCCACTGGTGTTATTTAGATAATTCATGTCTCATGGGGGAAGTAAAGTGCTTTTTCCTCAACAGTGGGAGCAGAGCTGTACTTTGTTCGCTTTGGACACTGGCTGAAGTGTCTGACAGGAAGCCCCTGCCTTAAAGAAAATTGCTGCGTGCTGGGGTGGTTAAAGAGCTCACTGAGACAGCTGGGAGACAAAGCAGTGTCACAGCCATACTGCCAAAGTACTTGTGGGGTGTGGGGAGCCTCACGGCCTTGGAGGAGAGGCAGGGCACGGGTGTCTGAAACTGGTTGTGGGTCACCTGCCAGAGGCAGCCCAATCCAGCATGGGTTGTGAGCATGAAAATCTCCTGAAATGTCTTCTCAGTGTATCCCTCAGGATGCATTTGTCTCACCAGTGAACAGGTCTGACCTGCCACATTTAAATCCCCCAAACCTGACAAATACAGCCAAACTTTTGGAGACACTTTATGACACGTGTTCAGTGTTCCAGCAGATGTCAGCTAGCACCTCTACCAGCCCCTCACACCTGAGAACTGTCCTTTGCTGTTCTCACAGGAGGTCGGTAGCAAGCACCTGTTTATTTTACTAAGGACAAACTCAGAAAAAATACTTTTTCTATGGCAAAAAGAAGCAGAACACAAAGTTTCCGACACTCTATGATGCTAGATATTCTCACACACATATCTGTAACAAACTCTGCCCTTCTCAGGCTGGTTATGCTTGTTTATCTTCTCTACAACTTTTATACAGGATTTGCTTGGGCTTTGCTCCTTTTTTTAACAAGGATTTTTCACAAAATAAGTTTTTCACAAATGAGAAGACTCTGAATAAGAGCTAGTGTCAGCCACACTGCTGATTTCTTGACCTTCTGCCTCTTCTACAAGCAGTTAGTAGTGGGAGTTGATAAATCAATAGTACTCAGTCATACGGTTTATTAGAAACTAGGGAAAAGGGAAGTGAGAAGCTGTCATTGTGTGATAAGCCAGCTGATAACAAACCCAGATAAACGCTGCCACATGCAAAAGCAAGAAGCCCTGTACTGGGAGAACGTTCCGCAGAGGAGGAATTTCAGTGGATTCAAAGGCTCAATCTCCCCAAGTTTGGACACAAAAGGGTTTGTTAAAAGAAACATGGCAGATTTTTCAGTGGACTTTTGCAGGACAAAGTGCCTGAGGAATTGACCAGGCTGGTGGCCTGGGTTCAGAGATGGGAAATGCCAAGTGTACCACCGGCCAGGCATATGTACGCAGAGTGTAGCAGCAGGCAGCTGCAGGGTGCCAGCCCATGGGTGTGGTGAGAGCAGGCCGCACCCTGCTTTGCAAGAAGCAATGCCAATGTCACGCTGATAACACAATGTGGTGTCTGGTGACAAGCCTCTGACCTCAGCTCATGCTTCAGAGCCCAGCTTCGTGAGGACACGCTGCAGCAAATCACCAGGAGAGCCTGAGTGCCTGGCATCATGACAGGGCCCTACAGTGCAGGACATCCCCCAGCAGCTCTGCCTGGCGCTGCATCCTGACCACTGCCATCCCCTAGGGACAGCAGTCCTACTCAGCTGACATGCTCACTTCTGCATGCCCATGAGGCCCAGCAGCCTGAGAAACAGCTTGGCAGAGCAACCAGCAAGGCTGAGGAGCCTGAGGCCAACCGTGTTGTGCCCAGATGAGCTGTTAAATTCAGCCCCGAGGAAAGGGCTGAGAAACTATTCCAAATGATCATTTCTGCTGGCTGTCATTATTTTCAGGCTCCCCTCTTGTGAACAGGCACCAGAAACAGCAGCAAATGTTTTCTTTCAGAGACAGAGAAACTACACATGTGTGTGAACATGTATTGCTCTAATGCGTCAAGCCAATTCAGCTGTTCAGACATGTCTAGAGTTCTTCAAACAAAGCAATATTTGGAATTGTACACAAAGATTTTTGGAGACAAAAGGGCAGAGCTTTTCCTTAGATACCTATGGAATAGACAATTGTTACATAAATGGGATTTGGCATTCTTTCTGAATCCTTGCAAGAATACAAAGGTTTTATCAAAAAGCCACAAAAGGAGATGTCCTGTACCCAGAAGAGGCCATTTCACCAGCCTATGTTCTCCATCATAGCAGGTCAGAGTGCCACAACACGAGAATGACATAAAACTATCAGAGAGCCCAAAGGAGGGCTATGAAGATGAGGAAGGGTCTGGAGGGCAAAGTATGTGGGGAGTGGCTGAAGTCCCTTGGTCTATTCAGCTCAGAGCAGAGGAGACTGAGGGGAGCCCTTGCGGTGGCTGCAGCTCCTCATGAAGGGGGCAGAGGGGATCTCTGATGACAGCAACAAGGCCTGAGGGGACATATGGAACTGGGTCAGGGGAGGGTCAGGTGGGTGTTATGAAAAGGTTCTTTACTGAGAGAATGCTTGGGCACTGGAACAGGTTCCCTAGGTCAGTGGTTATAACACTGAGCTTGCTGAAGTTCAAGCAGCATCTGGACACTGCTCTCAGTCATGTGCTCTGATTTTTGTGTGGTCCACTGTGGAGCCAGGAGTAGAACTCAATGATCCATATGGGTCCCTTCCAACTCTATTATATGATTCTATGTGAGTCACTAAAATTTACGGATTGTTATTTATCTCCCAGTTTGAGTGCCTGGAAAAGCCCTTATGTGTCTGGATGTCCTTGCTGAGCTGTTAAATTCAGCGCCATAGACACCTATGACTCCTCCTCATGTTCCACACTGAAACTCTAATTTACTCTCTATTCAGATCAATCTTAGATTTCCTATTATGATTATTTACTTTCCCTGCCTCTCTCAAATTGCCATCTCCTGCCCTAGGGCACACAGCTGTCAGTGGTAGCTCTGGGCTCCCTCTGTCCCTTTTGCATTCATTAGTCAACCCTCTTACATAGCAATTTCCAAAGTAGGAAAGAAAATCAGGTCTGGAGATGAGAACGGTACTATCAAAAACACCATGAGATATGCTGGCAAAGACAAATACCAGGCAGTGTCCCTTCTGAATGAAATAAGTATTGACGTTAATATGGGACATAGTAGGACATGACAGTCAGACCAGCTGTAATCTCTGAGTCTTTGCTCTCTGCCTTTTCTGCCATCTAATATGGTGCAATGTCCTGTGTCGGAAGGATGTGATGCAGTAGTTCTCTGTCATACACCATGCTTGGACATCTAGGAAAATGCAGAAGAAGGCAGAAGTTAGGAATCTACCAGAGCTAGTTTCTTCTCTCTCCTGCTCCAGCATACAGGCTGTTTACTATCACGTTGTTATCATAACCTGCTGTTTTGTAAGGTCCTCTGGGGACAATGTGCCTACGGGCGTACAGCACCTACTGAATCTGTTCAGTGTGGCGGCAGCAAATGCTAGTGTCTCAAATCCTGTGTATTTTTAAATATTAAGCAGTTTTTTTTGGAATGGGTAGTGGGGCAGCCTGGACTTTGCTCCTGAGGAAGGACTTGAAATGCCTATGTAACATTGTGTGTGTCAACATTAATGCAGGGACAAAGTTGACCTCTGGAAATCTGAGGTTGGACAGATAAAACACACTGTAGTCCTGTTAACCTCCTGTGGACTCTGAAGCACTCAAATGGGAAGCAGAACTACTGAGAGGCCACGCTTGACCTACAGGTGGCAATGAAACTGACTGCCCCAGGACTTATGCTGAATTTGAGAGAAGTGTGCACCTCTGCTTAGTGCCACTTTGCCTCCTGGTTGCAGGCTGCAGTCCCTGGCCTTGTCCTAAAAGTGTAAGAGCATGGGGCAGTCGTAACTGGCATCTCTCCATATTTGCATCTTTAGAGAGGACATGGGGCTTCCATCCTCAGCAGGGTCCCAAAGCTTACCAACCTAATAGCTGCTATACAGCTTATCTAAGAGGTATCCCTGGTCTAGGTTGCTATTTCTACCCTTCTCATGAGGCCTTACCATTTCTGCTCTCTCTACCTGTCTTATATCCCTCTCATCATTTTTCTAGAATGGAAGGGAAAAAAGGGCCTTTCCACATTTGCACTGTATATCTTATGCTTACCCTTTGTTCTCTGTAGCCTCGCTAACAGCAGCAAGTTGGAGCTGTAAATATCTGAGCACACCTATGATGTTAACTTTTTAACTTCTAAAGGAGTGGAATGGTTATTTAGATCCCCTAGATACTTGCAGACTTCAGATATTTTATCTCTGTCTATCTGCTTTACGCAGATAACACACACAGTTCTAGTGGTCCTATTGTTTAGCCAATCTTTCTGTCGATCATCATATATGAATGCAGCACACTAGTTAAGTATTAATTTCCTTTCCTCCTAGATTTGCTTGAATCTTCTCTTATCTTTAACCAGCTAAGATTTAGTGCTACTATGTATTCAGATAATGGACTAAATGATTAACAAAACTTGACAAAGTCAGATTTTTTCTATGCGATCTTCACGCCTTTCAAAAGCCAACTTCTCAAGGTGAGCAGCACTTTAACTAATTAGGGGAGGCCAGTCAGCACCAGCTTTGACACAATTTGCTCTCAGGGTGGAAAAGACAAGCTGAAAAGTTTTTCTGTGCCTAAGGTGACGGAATTGAAGATGCAGCCAATTCAGCACATCTGTATGCATCTGTACAGAGTGTTTTTTAAAATGGTTTATTGGCATCTCCTTTTGGAAAAGAAAAGCTAGGAAGTGCTCCTCACTCACATGCACAATGACTAATGTTGCCGTCTCTATTGTTTTCAAAGCTGCTTTTGCATGGTGAGCTTCAGGATCTGCTTCTTGCTTAATTCAGTAGAGAACAAAATAATAATGAGCATGCAGTTCCTCCTGCACGTGTTTCTCATCCACTCTCGTTGGCTCAAGTCCCTGAAATGTTTTATGAGCTTTATGAAATTTGACATTAGGCAGGATTAAAACAACCTGGATCCTCGGGGCAAGGAAAACAGCATCCTAAGGAAAGTAATGGAGAAACAGAGCTGAAAAAATTCTGACTGGTGATTCAGCTAGACAAAGCCATGTCTGTGTTGACTGGGTGGTGGCAAGACCTGACCCAAGTGGAAAGCTGGACTCCAGGGAACCCCCAGCACCCCCTGCAAACTGATGTTTTTGCAATCCTGTGACTCAGGTTGCAAAAAGGAGAGAAGAGGCCAGAACCTTCAGAAGATAGAGGAACTCATGGTACTTAGTAACTTCTCCACTTTGTGTGCTTGGGATATGCAAGATGTCTAGCATGTCCAGATTCTGTAAGAAAGGAGTAGTATTCAAATTAGCCTTAACTGAGAATGATTTGGAGCTGTTGGAATGAGTCCAGAGAAGGGCCACAAAGATGATCAGAGGGCTGGAGCACCTCTCATGAAGAAAGGTTGAGGGACTTGTTTAGCTTGGAGAAGGCTCTGGGGAGATCTCGTTGTGGCCTTCCAGTAGCTGAGGGGAGCTTACAAAC